GCACAGTACTGCATCCACCTTTGCATCCCCAGGACATCGCATAAGGAGAGATCAATACACATTATTTAAACCAGCCCTTTCCTGGGAACACTACTAGAGATAATGGTCATGGATTTTACTACTAATGGTACTGTACTTCAAGTATTTTATTGATTTAAAAGACTTTGCTAATTTTGTCTGATGACCTGAACATCACTTAAGACTGTTTTTTTATGGAGAAATGTAAGTTTTTAAGTGAATTTTTATACGACAAGCCAATTGTAGTTTGGGAGACAACTGCATGTCAACTATGTCACCCAGCATGAGACACATCTGTGTGAAAAATAAAAGTGTCAATCAATCATGAAGATGAATCCAAATATTTGATTCAATGACATCTTGCAAACAATATTTAATCATTTTATCTTTCAAATTTGAGCCAGATGGTATTTTCTACATAAACAGAAGCAGTGGCTACTTAGAAAGAACTTTGCTTCAAATATTATTTAAGTGCTCTTGACAAATATTTCAAAGTAAGATTTTTTTTTGATTGTGCTTCCACAATTACAGTTATTAGCTATGCAATAAAACAGAAGCCTTCTAAGAATATACTAGAAAGAATCTATTAGGAGACTATGCTTCAATTTCCATTAAATAGTGGGTTTATATTTAGCAAAGTAAAAGCTGGGAACACTGATAAATGACTACTGCATTTTCAAATAATTTTCCTTTAAATGATAAATGGAATTTTAAAATAGTATAATGCTAATACTGTAATGCTATGTTTTATTGAAAATAATTCACATAAAATTTGACTCCTAGGAGCAGCTTCCTAGTCAGGTCACCTGTCTTAGCATTCTGTATGTGTATTTTTTTACTGTACATGTATCATGTGTGTGCGAGTACACATGCAGAGGCCGGAAGACAGCTTTGGCGTTGTTTCTTGGGAAGGCTGTTCTTTTCCTTTGAGACAGGCTAAGTGAGTTAGGCTGCGTGGACAGAAATCCTCCATCCCTGCCTCATCGTCTTTAGGATTGCAGGCCTGAGCTATCATGCTGCGCTTCTGCACGTTCTGGCAATAGAGACACTGCCCAACCCCAATTCAAGGGTCACTCTAAGCACAGTGCGGTCTCATATGTTAGCTGTCTTCCACCCCCAACTCTCCTGCCCACCCCCACCCCAACACTTGCCATCCCACCCCTGTTGCCACTGTTTGAAAGTCAGCCTAAAACTGAACTACTTTCTCCTTTCAGATTCACGGTTAACATTTGTGTGTGGTGGGGGGTGGCGGGGGGCAGGTGGAGGGGTAGGGTAGGTTGTTCTTAAATTAAAACAAAACAAAATACCCCTCCATTTGGTCTTTCCCACGCTTCTCTTTATCCATAGCACCATGCCCTCTGTAGAGAGGATGCAGAGACTCTAGAAGGGAAAACACGCTTCCTAATTCTGTCGAGGGTCATCCTTCTCAACAGTCCCTAATATCAAAGTGGGTCACAGTGTTCCTGAACCCAAAATACAGAGTTTAAAGAGACTCCTCCATTTCCTTCCTGTGTGGCTCTGGTTAAGGAACACCTATGAATATTAGATTTCATGTCTATGTATGAAGGGCATTACTTATGGTTTCCTAATGAGGTGAGGGTAAGAATAAAGAAGATTTTGCATTATGCATAAGACAGCACCTGGCTCAACTAAGTGTGGGTTATTGCGATCATTTTATTTGTTTAAAGAAGACAAAATGAATATTCTGAACTATTCACATGTACTCCAAGTCTAAAATTAAACATTCAGCAAACTTTTAGTGTTGTTAACGATAGGGTTTTCTGAGAAGTCCTAAATTCATAGCCTGTGACAAATTTTCATGATCTCATTCATGAGTTTGCTTTGATTAGCTTATTAAGTATGAAATTGTGAAATGTGTTTCTGCATGCGAGAAATATGCCATTTTGATCTGAAACTGAGATTCCTCAACTAAGACTGCGGAAGTTTTGTTTTGGTTTTGTCCCCTTGTGTTCTAAAACCCAGGACGGGCAGTGTCTCTAAGTATCTGACATGTGTTCCGTTCTGGTCCAGCATTCTTCCGATGCATAATAAGTCTCATACCAATTAATGAACAAGTTACTAACCTCATTATGATATTAAATCGCAGAGTAAAAGCAGGCTCAAGTCAGCCTGTGGGAAAGGCATTTTAAAGAAGCTACTGCAGGGTTTGCCACACACAAGTCAAGGAAACCCTTTTCTGACAAAATTTGACTTTCTTCCTTAGAAACTACAGTTGGATGATGAATTAAACTACACTTTAATATATGACGGAAGGGAAACAATAAGCAATAAATAAGAATGGGCTACAGATCTAGACACTTGTGGTACACGACTTTAAAAGTCTCCAAATTGCTCTGTTCTATAAAGTTTATTTTATCACCCTGGGAGGGACAAGACCACAAATTCTTACCTTAAAAATACTCTTGAACTTCAAAAATCCTAAATGCAATCCATCCATGCTTTGCCTGCCTCGGAAGGTCTTGTGAAATTAGCAGGTATCATGTTTTTTGCAAATCCCACTTGATGACTATGTTGGTCTAAGAGAACCCTAAAGAGAATTCTGAAATAAACAGACTATCTTAACCTTATCTGTCTACCTTAGAATACACGTGGGAAAATTTCCTATCAATGTAAGAAATTTCCCTAGTAACTAGTCTATAAGAGATAGTAAATTTCAAGGAATTGATCAAAGAAAAAAGATGCACTGGGATGAAATGAAATATATTTTCGCTTGCTTCCCAGGTTGCCAGGAATACGATCTACTTCTATAAGATGTAGATTGTGCAGTGATCTCTCTACAGCAGCAGTTCCAAAAAGCCTCACATTTTTTCCCTCAAGAAACAAACTACTTTTCAGTGCTCCACAGACTTAGACATTTTAAAGCATTCAGACAAGCCTAACAAAAATCTGATCAGATATGCCTTTAAGCTGCCAAGAAATGTTATTGAACCCACATCTTGCAATTTCATTTTGTCCAGCAATCTCATTCTTGAACATCTTAGAAGGGCAGGCTAAGCTCCCATTCCCTCATGGCATCAGCAAGTATGCTATAAACGCCAAATCAAAAGCATTGATAAGGTGATCATTTCTCCCAGTCATTCTGCACGGCTGGTAAACAAACATGCTTGGAGAACTGTGGGTTAGGGGTGAAAGCGGATTTGGAAACACTTTCAAGTGATGCACAGATTGGTTCTCTTCATGAAAGGGGGAAACAAGAGGTTGGGAACCCAGGATGAAGAGGAAAACGCCAAGTGGCAGGCAGTAGAGTCGTTTTCTATAGCCTTTGTGTAGGGGTTGGTGTAAGAGGGAGACTTGGGGACAGACACTAGACTTCGAAGAGAAGGTGAAGGCTGAAGGAGAAAGCAAGCAAGGAGAACTGCCAAGTGTTTCGTTCCTTTCTCCAGAGTCTGAGTAGTGCCAGAGAAAGAAGAGTGTGTAAGACAGAATCCTGCTTGTGATCAACAACAGCTCTGCAAAGGATGGCCGTCCATGAAGGAGCAGACCACAGGCTTGACTTTATGGGTGCATATACATGCTTTGAAGTGGCCTGGCCCATTGGCACTTATTCTCATTCTGGACCTTCAGTATTTTCAGAGAGTCTTTGAAACTACCCAATAAGCCATACACTAAAAACAACACCCAACACAGCAAGACTAAAAACTACACAGTTCCATGCATAATGGGCCAAACTACTGAACTGTGTAAGTTCTGGTTACTTTAATAGCAAAGAGCTCTATATTCTAGATATCTATGTGTTTTAGTCACATATTAAAAGATAAGTGGGGGACAATTTTATATTTATTGACGCACTCTGCTCATGTATCTAGAGTGAAATAGACACAACTTTATGATATGAACAATTTTAACATGTTACTCTTTTTTCAGATTCTTTCCTGTGAGTCACTCTGTACGGGCAGGTAGGACTTCAGACATTGGACCACAGTCTGTTATTTGCTGAGTCTATGCAATGTGCTAGCACTGATAAATAACCAAGAGGCGTCTGTCCCACACAATGCTAGGCATTTAAAAACAATAACGGCAAAAATATTTACTTCTCTTTTGGGATGGGCTCGAAAAATATCAGGTTGTCAACAAACCCCCAAACCAATCAATATGAAAAACTGAAAACGTGAAGTGCTATTTAAAATATTGACATTCTGACTTGATTAGATGGAGTGTTGAACCTGCATGCAATTAGCCCAATGCCCGCCGGTGCATATTAAAATCTCCCAGGATTTAGGCTTTTCTGTGTTACTCTTTACTGCTAAAACACTTGTGCAGTCATAAATGTGGTATAAATGGCATGTTTATGCACATTGCACATTGATACTTTTTATGAATGGATACAAATAAATGCTCCTATCAGAGAAAATGGATGGCAGGATACTATTTTGACTAGGGTCAGGAGCGGATGATGAGGCAAATGGTGGGTGCCACTCAGGTCAACTGCATTGCCAAGTCCCCTTGGCTGAGCGTCTTGGAAACAGCCTTGGAGCGCTTTCCTTAGAGACCTGTTCTAGTTAGCTCCTGGGAACCAAGACCGTTCACCACTGAAGAATAATAGACATGTAATAGACATGCATGTCTCTGTATTCTGCGGCTGGTGCACACAACGGAGATAATCACACTCCCCAAGTCAAGTCTAGTCCGACAAGTGCGTGTATGTGCGCGAGTGTGCATTTACCAACAAAGGGACGGGAACGGAAGGCAACAGGGGATCCTCTCCTACATATAACAGTTCTCATCCTTTTGGTCAATACAGGCTTGTTAGGGGCTCACACTTGCCTGTCTTCCCCACCACGAAGAAGCCTTGCGTTAATAACCAGTCAGGGCTGACAATTCCAGTCAGTTTTGTATGTAAGCCCACTAGGAGCCATATGGCAGTTTCCAGTTCCTTTAGCAACTCAAGTCTGGCTAGGCTGTCAAGGCGAAGCATCTCTAAAGCAGAGCTCTTGGGGAGCAGCAATGCCTGGGCCACTTACCTAGCTCCCACAGACACTCGCTCCACTCGGCCAGCAGTTCTGGCTCCTGTGCCACAAAGGGAGGTGGGAGTCCCCGCTCCCTCGGAGGACTCCTCTCCTGCAAAGGTCCTTTCGTCAGTGGTGTGTCGCTGGAAATCCCCCTCCCCTCCAACGAGAGGAGGGTCTCCCCGCTGGCTGAAGCTCCTGGCGGCTTTCCTTCTCTCTTTACATCCCTCACTCCGGTTCACAGTCTCTAGTAAGAAGGCTCACAGAAGACTCATTTGGAGGAAGCGAAGGCATCCTTTAAAAAGAACAATAATCTTCCTCGATCATCACCCCTTTTCTCCGCGTGGAGCCCCCATCCCCCTGCCGCCGTCACCGCCGCCCAGATCAGAGAGGGCTGGAGTGAAGAGGGAAAAAAATCAAGCGGTGCTCTGCGCGCCGAGCCAGCCCTGGACTTGGCTCTGGATCCCGCTGCCCGAGGCGCGGCGGCTGCCGGCGGGGGCGGCGGGTGCTCGGTCGCGCTCGGTGGGTGTGTGTCTGTGCAGCAGCCTCACTAGCTGCGCGCGAGAGGCCAGGCGGGGCGCTCGGGGCGCGGGTCCTCCACCCCGCAGCTCTCCGGTCGGGCGCGCACACTCGCCCGCGGCCACCCAGCCTCGCGCTCCGCCTCCCGCGCTCCGCGCACCCGCGGGCTGAGCGGCCGCCGCCGCCTCTCTCTTTCTCTGTGTCGCCTCCTCCCGCAGCTCCCAGGCAATCGCGGCTCCCAGGGTGGGCGGCCGGGCTGCACTGCTGGCCGGGCACCTCGGGGTAACGCCAGGCTCGGCCTCCCGGCGCCGGAGCTGTGCGCTCGGCAGGCGACAGCGCCCCCGGTGCCCAGGGCGCGGCTGGGGCGCGGGCGATCGGGCACCGCCCACACCTCGCGGGGATCCTCCCTCTGCTCCCGCCGCTGCCTTGATCTAAGCTCCACACCCACCTGCCTCTCCTCGTGGCTTCCACTCAGTTGCACCCGGTAAGGGGTCCGCAACCCCGTGGCCACTGCAAGTACGCGGCTGGGAAAACCCTGGGACGCTCCTCCGAGACGCTCTCGGGGCTTCACGGATTTCCCGGCCCTTCTATTTTCCAGCTGCTCTGCTCTCCCGCCGCCTGACCCCTAAGCGACCAGAACCCCGGCTCCCTGATCCACTATGGGGAACTGGGGCGAGGGCAAATGGCTCCTGAAGGATGAGCCCCAGAGTAGTTTCCCATAAGCTTCAGAACAGATGGAAGCCCAGGTGGAATGTGAATCTCCAGCCGCACTCGGGACCATCCCTACCTAGTGCAAGTCAACTGGCTTTTCTATGTTTGAAAATCCAAGCTAGATGGGAGGCAGCTTTGACTCTTCCTTCCCATGGGGGCGCTGTTCATACCCTGACTTGCTTGGCTTAGTAATCTATTTACTGGCTGGAAAACTATGCCAAGATCTCCCTTAGTAAAAGGGCCACACGGTGGATACCCCAGGCCCCTCCCCAACTTAGAGGTGTAATAAATACAATGAATTTGAACAAAACTGCTGGGCTCTGCAGGTTCCTGACTTAGGTGGACCTTGAAGGGTGGAAAATAAAGCAGTCAAAACAGTTGTGTGTCTGTCGGGAAAACACGTAACTTATAGCAGTCTTTCTTTCTAAAAGAACCCAGGACATGGGAATATATTCAAAGTTGGGACCCCAACATTACTTTTGACCACGAATATCTAGATACTGGGTTTAAATTACATCCCATTTAGTGCTATGTACATGAGCTGGCGTAGCCTTCCGGAATTCTGTGTCTTAAATTCCTGCCTCTGTAGATCTGACCTTGTGCTGAGCACTTTTTTGAGCTGTTCAAACTTGCTGGATGCTATCTCCGGGAAATGATTGTTGTAACTCCATCACCCTCCAACAAGAAACCTCCCTTGGCTCCCGTTTTTCTCTCGTTGCGACTTCTGAAGTGTGCACACCAAGAAGAGAATACCTGGATTCTAAAACCTTTATCACAGTCCTGGCCCGTTCCCAAGTTCCAGCGCCACGTGTCCCGGACTTTGCAGGAAGTGCGCTCCCCTGCCTTCAGTCTTCCCATATAGTTTACATTTCTCGCAGACAGCTCGACTCCAAGAACAACCTTGAAGCCATCACTGCGACTGCACAGCTATGGCAGTAGGTCCTGTGTTTCTTTACTTCTAGGCTATTCTTTACTGCCTCTCAGGTCTAAACTACCACAGCCTTTTCCAGGCCCATTTCATACTCTTAACTTTTCAGTGACCCTCGTCTTAGACATGCAAAGCATACTGCTCCAGCTTCTTAAAGAGACACGGGTCCCGTCTGCGTTTATGGCATATGCGTACTCCACAGTATTGTCGTAAACTACAAGCTCCCCCAGGAATGATTTAAGCATATCTTCACTGTTTTTATGCCTTCTGTGGAATCCAATGCCACATATTTATTCAGCGAACATTCATTGCACAGCCTTTTTTTTCCATTCAATATTTGTCATTTGAATGGAATCTATAGAAGACATTAAGTTTAGAAAGACATTTTAAATTTTATTTTGGATATACTGAAACTTCAACGGCACGGTGAACATTTTATACACTTAAAATGACCTTTAAATTTGCAGGCAAATGGAAGGATCTAGAAAAAAAATCCTCCTTGAGGTAACCCAGACCCAGAAAGACAAATATAATCTGTACTCACTCATGAGTACAGACATAAAGCAAAGGATAACCAGCCTGGAGTCCACCACCCCAGAGAGGCTAGAACCCTCTTCCAGAAACAACTCCCGGACTACACCTGAAGTGTGGGAGGAGATATAATAAGAATCAAGGGTCAAGACCATGATGAGGAAACCCACAGAAGCAGCTGACCTGAGCTAGTGGAAGATCACTGACTCCGGACTAACAACTGGAACCTGCATAGAACCCAAATAGCCCCCCCCCCCCCGCATACAGATATCAATGGCGTGGCTTGGACAGTATATGGTACTACTGGCAGTGGGACCAGGATCTAACTCTAATGTGTGATTTGACTTTATGGAGCCCGTTCTGTATGGAAAGATATCTTGCTCAGCATAGGCACGGGGGGGGGGGGGGGGGGGGGGTTGGCCCTCCCTCAGTGAGATGATGGGACAGACTCAGTTGACTTTTCCAGGGAAAGCCTTACCCTCACTTTTGAGCAAATGGGGAATGGGATGGGAGGAAGGTGGGAAGAGTGGGAGGACAGGAGGGAGAGGCGGAACTGGGGTTGATATGTAAAAAAATAAATAAATAAAACAATAAAAGGGTAGAAAAATGATTATAAAAATTCCCTTTGTTAGTCCTATATCAGCAATACTATTGAATACATCAGCATGAACTTAATTATTTGGTAAATAATTGTTCAAAAATATTTGCCTTAAAGTGGGCCACATAGAATCGTCCTCTAAGATGGGAGAGTTAAGAATGTTTATTTTGGTCTGGAAAGATCTCAGAAATCAAACAGCTCTTGACACTTTTCCAGAAGACCCAGTTCTCTGCATCCACAAGGCAGCTCACAACTAGCTGTAATTTCAGTTCCAGGGAATCCGACAGCTTCTTCTTGCCTTAGAGGTCAACAGGTATGTGCATTGTGCACATAAACACACATAGAAAAAAAAACACTAACACATACAAACTAAAAATAAACTCTTTAAGTAAAATAAATTGGTTAGATTTGAGAAACTTGAATCCATTTTTCTATCACGAGAATGATCGCTAGCCCAGTTGCAACGCTGTCATCTCCATTTTCTGGGAAGCAAGGTGCTAGGGGTTGGTTACCCATCCAGCTGCAGATATGTATACGAAAACAGTTTCAGGATCGGGTATGTGATGTGATTCTGCTTACTGGGGGTTACTCACTCCAGAATGGGTTAGTGAGAATAAGGTATTGTGCACCAGTTGCAAAGGCAGAATTCTCACGAAGCACAGAGCTTTGGCTCCAACTGATTGCAGAAACTCCCGCACCCATTATCCTCATATGGCTGCACCTCTTCCGTGCATAAATTTCCATTTTCTCAATTTGTTCTTCAAAGGAAAATGTAACATGATGTCGCTGAAAAGTCAGACAAGTTTTCATATTGCTTCTTAACTCATTTTTAATCTTTATTGAGATTTATAGAAATGTTCCTTTTGCTTATATTTCAATTTCTCAGATTCAGCCTGTGATATGAGGAAATTATATTAAAGAGGAGAAAGGACTGCTTACTGCGGTATCAAAATGCCTTCTTGGTAAAGCCTGCTAAAATAAACAACTGTAGCACAGGTTAGCCTTAAACAGCCTGTCTGCAATTCAGCATCACAATGTCAATGACAAATGCGTTTCCCCATGCCTCACAATGCTGCTGCACAGCATTCTCTGCATAGATACAGTACACGGCGTAGTGTGTTCTTGGCTCTTTGTTGTTCAATGCAGCATTTGAAGATATTTAGTTTACTCTGAATAACATCAGTATTTACTTCAGTCTCTCAAACAGGAATTTGAATTGTGTGTTGACTTGCAGAGTTTGTGTACATTAGAATAAAATAGTAAGGCTAAAGGATGAACAATTTTTTAAATGCATAAAGGGTGATCATTTCCAAGTTTTCTGGAGACCTAACTTGGTGGTTTAGTTTTTTAATGTATTTTTTATTATTTATTTATTTAATGACAATTGAAGCCAGTGTAGTGACACAGGCCTATAGAAGAATCTTAAGTTACGTACAGGCCTGTGTGGGCTACCTATAAAAATCTCCTTTTCAAAAGAAAAAAAAAGAACATTTTAATTGAAGGTGATGTTCGACTTACTGAGTAAAATCAAGTAAAAGAATCAAAAGAAGAGTTTCCAAAAATGACACAGGCCACATTAAGAAAAAAAACTTATATAAACATAGTGTGCAAGAACATATGCATGCATGTGTGTGTCCGTGTGCATGTGTGTGTCCATGTGCATGTGTGTGTCCGTGTGCATGTGTGTGTCCGAGTGCATGTGTGTGTCTGTGTGCGTGTATGTGGCCATGTGCATGTGTGTGTCCATGTGCGTGTGTGTGCGTGTGTATGCATGTTTGTATGTGTACTTGAACGAGCACAGTCTGGAAACGCTTACATCACCAAGCTAAAGAAACTGTCTCTAAGCAGATAGGCAGGTTT